GAAAAATATAAAATTAAAAAAAATAAAATATGAAAAATATGGATACAGTTGGAGAATACAGAAAAAGTATAATACAAATGTACACATTTTTCTATGAATAATATCGGGATCGTTCTCAGCTTTAGAACTCTACAAGTATTGTTGCAAGCATTAATAAGCTTCATTCTTTCTTCATCCCCAACACCCTTTCGTAATTATCGTCGAAGCATTGATAGAATTTAGGTCTCGAAAATTGTGCAAGTGGAAGGAACACAATCGACAATCCCGGCTCAACCGAGCTAGATCTTAATACTCAAGACTTATCTCGGACGCATCATTAAAGCAAGTCGGCCAACGTTGCGCTCACGGGACTTCGCGAAAATTGCAACGAACGAGGATCGATCCGAAGATCGACAATAAATACGAGTTTGCGACCGTCGTAGTAATCTATGTCGATGCAAGTCAAAGTGTTACAATATCTCTATTAGCACATCGAGTTTCAAGTTGCTGCGATGAAGTAAAGCCACAAATCCACATTGCATGTACAAGAATCAGCTACATTACCATCTCATTTTTATAGTTCTCATTACATGATAGCATATATACAATATTTACTTATCTTCAATAAGAATTGCACAAGAAATAAAATCAAGATAGAACTTGAGAAATAATAAATGTCAATGCTTTTTCAACAATTTTTGGATTTTAATCATAATTATTTAGAATCCTGCATTGAACTTTTATCGTACATAATGTCTCTTTTTTCATTTTTACTATACTGTGCATATCTCAAAATTATTATATATCAAATATTCTTTTAATGGATATGTAGTTTGATTTTTTTAGCAAAAGTGTGGGGTATTAACGAAAAATGGAGAATTTTTTATAAATTTTCAATTATATATCTTAGTGTAAAATTAAGTCTCTAATTAAAATTCTAATTAAATACATTTCATATCAAATTAACTCCATTTAATTGATAAGTTTTTCTTTCTCAATTATTTATAACTCAAAGATTATTGATATTTCGATTAATACTTTTGCTAAAAAAAACTTGTTTTCTCAAATTGGCAATAAAACTCATTAAAAAAATATTCGGTAATTTTGGAATATCTTGTATACAAATTCATAACGGAATGTCCGAGAGGAAATTTTTCTCTTACTTCGATCAATTTTCAATTAAATATCAATCAAATATTTATTTTGATACTTTAAGTCACTCTCTTTTAAATCTATTTCTTAATCTATAATTTTATCAAAAAATTCTCTTTTAAATTTCTAAGTGGAAAAACTATTATTATGCATATTATATTTACTTTATATTTGCATACTATATTTATTACATATTTTGACATACAAGGCAAAGAAGCTCAATGATTCTACGTAAATCAAATAATCGCGCGAAATCTTTTCGAATCTACAAATGTGAGATAATATTGAGGTTACAAAAATAAGAGAACGCAAAGTTTCGACTCGAGATTATTCGTGTCAGTTGTAACAAGAGGCGCTGAATTAAAGCGATCTCTACCCAAGCGGATCTCAACGATCCACGAGAGAGAAGCGTTTAGGATGATTTGACTTTCACCATGAGGCTTCCGGTGCGCGCGCGCACGCACGCCATTGTCAACAACGTTCTTAGCAGGGCGATGCGATTCCGCGTGCGTTCTTTGTCGACAATCACACCATCAGCGACATCGTGTCGTGCCGTCCTCGACGATATAGGCCTACTCTGTTCGCGTAGGCGTCTAATGACGGGTTCCGCGACAGACATGCTCGCGTGTATACACGCGTGTCAACCCCGTCCTTAGCCCCGTCATATGAGAATAGAATGCGCGAAGCGCAAAGAGGAAAAGGGGAGGGAAAAAGAAGGGAGAGAGAATCTGTCGCGACCGTCGGTCACGAATTCCTGACCCACCTCCGTAAATCTCAAATATCACGATCGACAACCCTGAAGTGACACTAAGACTTATAGCAAACTGTCATCTGACTCTTTCGGAGACCTCTCGTTGGGCAACTTCGGGACGCAATTTTGATCGCGAAGAAAAAAAAAAGAGAGACAGAAAATCTTAGCAATGTACGCGATATAAGATTTTGATAAATAATTATTTATTTATTTTTTATATACATAAAAAGTTATGTGTAAAATTTAAAAACGCAACGTAATTTTATGCAGAAACATATTAAAGAGTTTCTTTGTTAGCAATTCCGTTGTTGTGGAGCGTCATCGGACATCATAATACCGCTTGAATGTCGCTTGATGGTTCTTTTAATGATGTGACAGTGGCCGCGTGCCGCCGAAGCCGAAGGTTCAAATTTCCAAATCGAAACACAACACGATGCATTTATCGGAAACGAGCCGCAGTAAGAAAGAGGGATCAGACATCGCACACCTTTTTGTCCGACATGACAAGAGATTACAAAAAAGGTCATCAAACTGTGAAAGGGAGAGCCTTTTCTCGCGTTTCTCCGCTCTTCGTCTGCCTTTTTATTATCATTATTATTTTTTTTTATTCCTCTCTTAATCCCGGACCGTATTAATAACTGTCCTGACGAAGTAACTGTGTCAGAATCGCCATGATTAAGTTGCGTAACAAGACGGGGAAATCCGCGAAGATCCGATGATGATCTAAAGTCTCGCAGAGCGTATCTTGTCTGCTCGAATTATTCGCCATGCTTAGGTTTCGCCAATTTGAAGCTAAAAAGCTAATTAAAGATTGACCCAGAAACTCGCGAATTGGATAAATTTGCTGCCAAATACCGAGTAAAGATAAATAATCTGTCAGAAAACCAGGTGATCGGTATTTTTCACTCAAAAACGGAGAAGATCAGCCTCGTAAAATTGAAATCTTCATTGAAATAATATATTAAAATATTTTATTAATATATTTTAATTATATTAATATATTATAATTAATTATAATTAATTATTATAATTATAATTAATTATAATTATATTAATATATTTTATTATTGTATATCTTCTCTCTTCTCTACTATATAGTATATTCCATCAATTTCTAGATGTTGTAAATTTAATTAACGAGTGACAAAGTAATTATACATTATTTACTTACATATGTATTTTCAATATCCATTATATTAAATAATAAGAAATTATCATAATATTATTAAACAATAATAAATCACGTGCATATATTGATTCAAGTATTCAAAAATCAATTAACTCTGTTATATGTACAAATGATAATAATTTCAAATTTTCTAAGTCTAACGATAAGATAAGAAAATAAAGTAAATGAATCAGTAAAAATGAATTAATAATAAGCAATTACAAAAGTATTTTTCTCTAATGATACATGTTAAAGACATAGACTTACGAGATCGATCGGAGAGAGAAAGAAACGAGTTGAAAGGCGTTTAAATCGCCAATAGAGCAACGAAACACTAACAACAAGCTGGTCCGGTCCTAGGACAACCGGATCGTCATCGTGGAGAGAAACCGGAGCAGAGTATCTTATGGTGGGGATGGGACAATACAGTTGCAGAGGTGAATTAGCGTGGCCGGGAGGCGAAATAGAAGGGATATCACGATGTGATGAGTTAGAAACGATGAGAAACAGTTTCGATCTTTGACGAAGATGAGTACATTGACCCACTCTTGATACAATTGCGTCAGCATTGAAATCGAAACGGATTAAGTAGGAAGATAACCAAATGAATCACGATAGAGATAACCACATGAATCACATAACAAAATCAAAGGTATATAAGTCGAAAATCATAATATTGATATACAAAGAGAATCTCAAATATTTTAAGTCTTTTTAGAAGTTCTTCTATAAATTTGATGCTGATTTTATTTCAATAAAACTTTAACAACACTCCGCCGTTCGTTAATTATAATTATATCTTAAATCTTGTTACAAAAGTCATATTATCTGAAACAAATTTTAATACTCAATGAAATATAAAATTTCTTGTAGAGAAAGAGAAAGAGAGAACTATTATTTAATCTTGCTTTTGTATTTCCTCTTTTTTAGCCTTTCGTTGGAGCTCTGAACGTAACAAATGTGCAAACGAAGAAGAAGAAGAAGAAAGAGGTGAAGAAAAAAACGGAGAAAAAGACGAATGTATTCGTGGACGATGGAGTGTCGATACAGTTGCAAAGGTGAATTAGTTGCTTGAGAGATTACGCCGCGAGTAACGATAGAGAAGAGATAGTGACTGTTCGATATTTCTCATCTCTCGTCCCTTTTCCCCCTTCTCTTTTCATTCCGCTCTCTCTTTCTCTCTCTCTTTCTCTCTGTCTGTCTCTCTCTTTCTCGTTTCCGCGAGAGCGTGCGGCTCGACTGGGAGAATTCCGGTGTGTCGGTGACCACCGGGTGGGAGTGGTGCACCAACACCATCCACCTCCTCACCGGGGTTCCTGCACGGACCGATGCACAGAGAGTGGGAAAAGGACAGTCACAAGAAGAGCACCGGAGGAATCTAGCGGAGAGGAAGAAACGTTGGCTAGAGGGAGAAACGTCCTTCGACAACAGGGAGTAGGAAAAGGAGCACGAAGAGAAGCGCATAGAGGCAAGAAAGAGGAGGGATACAGAAGGAGGGAGGAGGGCAGGTCGCGTGCCCGGCGTGGTGTTACTCTGTGTGGCTAAAAGAGAGGAGAGCACTTACCTTACTTTACCGACGTCTCTCACGGTTAACACGCAGGGTAGCTCTCCTTCACTCCGCGTTCACACTTACACGAACAAACGCACGACAGTTATCACGCATACAAACAAGTGTCAGCGCTCATACCAACCCGCATCGCAGCCACACCGTATGATCCGATACATTTATGTACACGGATACTCGATCTTCTCGATGTATTTCCCGTGTGTGTAACTCACCTACCTACCTACCTACCTACCTACCTACCTACCTACTTACTAACCTACCCGCCAGCCTACGGATTCAGTCTCCCCGCCCAATCGACGGTACCCGCGACAGTATATACGTATCCACGTGTCTGTGTGCACCTGTGTGTGTGGCAGGCGGCATCGCCCCGCTTTACACACGGCTTACTCACCACCGTACGAGGACCACTCCACTCTCGTCGCGTCTCACGAATCTCCTTCGCGAGAGCTGCTCTTGCTGATATTCCGCTTCGTCCCGTGCCAGGAAGGTGAATGAGAGGGGAGAGGGATATCACGCCTCGCGAGAGAGGATCTGGACAACGGAGCACAGGCACCAAACGATCGCCGGACGGTGGTGAGCAACGGTGGTTCGCTCCTTCCATCGTTCCTGAAGAGAGAGAGAAAGAGAAACGTTGAAAGATCAGGACCTTACGTCCTGTCAACGCGCGAATACAGGGATTGATAGTGTCGAAATCCCTCGAGAATCCCACCGAATTTTCACTGTGCGGGAGAACTTTGAGACAAGGTGGTCAATCATCGTTTAACGTGCCGATCACAAGGGACTTCTAGTCAGAAAGGATAAAATTCTCCTCAAACGATAAGTCTACGTTGTGTGGTGTGTGTGGTATTGATAAAGGGATAGGCACTCGTGTGTATTGCCTGAACGGGAACGATCGAGACACCGTTATCCGAGCACGTGGTCGCGCTAAGTGTAGTAAAACGAGGATCTTCTAATTGGATATATTATTGAAAAACGGTCCAAAGGTTTGCGGAATGTTTGTGCGGACGTTTCGATAACCCGTATCCTCATAAACGGGCCGACTTTCAGCACTCGTATAGGTGAAAGGGGAGAGAAAAAAGAAGAAAAGGAGTGACCTCTGAAATGTGAGGATAGTGTGTTGTTGCCAAACGAGTGCTCTTTTATCATCTCCGTCGCCTGCTTTTATTCTTCTTCTTCCCCAGTGTTGTCTTTCCATCTTCCTCTCTGTTTTTCTCTTTTCTTTCTCTCTCCATCTCCCCCCCCCCTCTCTCTATCTATCTATCTATCTATCTCTATCTCTATCTCTCGCCCGTATTATGAGCAGAGCAAAAATGGAAAAGTGTCACGAATCAACGGAAGTGTTACCACCCTCGGCAAGGTCGAGATATGACGTATAAGGTAAAATAACTTACGATTCTCTCTCTTCCTCTTTTTCCTTGTTTTTTTCGCGATATTCTGGTATTTTTTGATTTTTTGAAGATCGTGCAAAGATTATGTTTGGTATTCGTCGAGTCTAAAGGAGAATATTTAAATTTGAAAATTAATATCTCCCTTATATATATATATATATATATATATATATATATATATATATATATTTTTTTTTTTTTTCCAAAATGTCAGAATCTGTTCTGCCATGCTTCTGTATATTTTAATTCTGGTAGAGCTGATAAAATAACGAAAATATGAATTAAAATATATAGAAACATGGCAGAACAGATTCTGACATTTTGAAAAAATATAAAGACTGTTGATAGAATTTATGTCAAATTTAATAAAATAAAATTTAATAAAATTTAATGAAATAAAATTTTATAAAATTTAATGAAATAAAATTTTATAAAATAAAATTTGTAACATAAATATGTATTGCAGTTTATGCGATTATCCATCAAATTATGCGCCTAAAATTGTATAAGTGACAAATCTCGTACATATTCCTGCTTTCTCTTTGTAAGTAAAATTGCAAAATGAAAATTGCCACACGAGATAACTTACACGATTGTCTTAGGGATTGTTTTAATATTGGAATTATAATACCTATCTCTTAATTGAGTGTTTCGGGGTTAGATTTTCTCGTTAGTGCGGTAGTTGGTTGTCGACAAAATCTCAATTCGTACTCCTTTTGGCGCCAGCGTCTCGCGCTCCCGGTAAAATTACGGCGCCTATTTGAAATGCAGACTTGAGGTGTCGCGAGAGCGCGATAATCTATGAACGGGAACACATCAGGAATGAGTGATTGGCGCATACATATAGAGAAAGAGACTTTCATTTGAATAAAGACAATCGAACGCGCGCGCACAGTCAAGAGTGTGATTACGGAAGTTGCTTCGCGCTTGATGGTTTGTCTATGTTACATTTGACACGTACGCGCATCTCGCGAGGAGAAAATATGGTAATATGACAGTAACTAGAGCTGATTAGTATAGGATGTAAACATTATCTGCTGCATTATTTTTAATGATGCACAATTTATGATATTAGAAATTTTTAAGTGTTTGGCGAAAAACATTGATAAAGTATTACAAATATTATTTCGCATATCCTTAATTATGTAATATTATATAATAATCATAAATTCAAATATTATCTTCTCTACAATTGAGAAAACTAATAATTTTTGCTTGAATTTATATAAAATATTCGTGAAATTATATTTCGTATTTTCTCATGAGAACACAGCTTGAAAAAGCCTTACGTAATATGGAATTAATCGCACATATTGTCACGGGGATCAATGACAGTTCGCGTCTTGACATTTCGCGCGAAAAACGCATCTACTCCGACATCTAACACGTTCGAAACCAGTTCTAAAGCTGCGCTTGCGAACTCCCTCCCGAGCAAAAGTAAAGTCACCCACGTTCATTCTTATATCACGATTCGTTCTGCCGGAAAGTAGACATTGCAAAAGCTACGTTTCTGCCGTTTCCTCGTTCATAAATTTACGTGCCTTCAGGCGTACGCCTTGACTGCGCCCATTCGAGAACACGTGAGACCGCCCGATTCACGAGACAAGCAGGAGACTTTGATAAATATATTTATATTGAAACAATCGAAAATACTACATATCGCATTAATGCGATATGAATACAAAAAAATGACTATCACTAAATTATTCGGAAATGTATATATAAAATTTCATTCGCATAAATATACCCGAAATTTAAATTTAAAACAAATTTATCCAAAATTTAGAGTTTTGGGATACGATTTTATTTTACATGCAATACAGGAAATATATTTAAAATTAAAATATATATATTGTATATATATTGTATATATATATATATATATATTGTGTGTGTGTGTGTGTATACACACACACACACACATTAAAATATGCGACATACAAAAGTAGTTGTAGAATTTTTTCTTAAATTTTGCCGTGAATTATAGACTGTGTGTGTAAAAGATTAAATTAAAGATATATTAATTTATATAATATAAATATTTACAGTTACATAAAAAACCAAAAAAGTGAATTATTATTATCGATTAAAAATTGAATTATTATTTATCTTTAGATGAGTTTAAACTAATCAATCAGACATTTCTAATTTTATCTGTTCAAATTATACGTAAGAATAAAAAGAGACGCGAGTCATAGAATTTTCGATTAAACGAGATATATCAACGATACATTATTCATAGAATAATGAGCTTGCATTGATGGCACACACAAAGATGCGCTATCATAGATATCTCGAGGACAGTTTAATAGTTAATTGATAATTAACGTCATAATTTTTATCGTCATTTTCATAACAACATCGTGAAACCGATGTTGGGGCGTCGAGAACTCTCTTGTCCCGTTATTTCCTTCTTCCGTTGCCTTCGCTGTTCCACCTCGTGCGATTCATCTCTGTCTCGCTATCGGCAATTTGTTAGAATCAGTTTCGGCGAATCCATTGACCGTCCGCCGATTGCAATAAATTGCAAATTACATTGGATGTAAATCTCGCGTGAAAGTAATTGTAAATGATACGTGCCGAAATCCCTTAGGAATAAATCGCACGAGCAGAAAATTTAAGGAAATAAATTGCCATAAGTCTCTCCCGATTTTTCTTTTATTGACAAAATTGAACTGGTCCTTCACATACATCCATACAAATTGTTGGAATTCTTTTTGGTTTCAGCAATTTTATGTCATCATCATCATCATATAAATATAATAAATTAATATAATTATGGTAAAATAAAGAATACTAATGATATAATCTCACATTAAAGAAATAAAAATTATAAATTTTTATTTATTTATTACATAAAACATTACATAAGTATTATATAAATATATAAAACATATAATATATAGACAAAATAAAATATATAAAAAAGTATGTAATAATATAAACTATTATTATTATATTTTTTTCATAAGTTTCCTTTTCTTTCAATGGGAGCAGAATCGCACATATTATTTTATACAAAAAAGATGAATCAAATTATATAGAGCCAAATATATGATGTAATAGAAAGTCATAGACAACAACATATTTATTACATTTTTTCTCTTCAATTCAATCCTTGTAAAAATAGAATTTGGCGGTATTAAGCAATATTACACGAACGACATCAGGATCTCCTATCTCTTTTTTAACGTTGCTCAACAAACCAGGCAAATGTATATAAGCGTCGACAGATCGGTATTTGAATACGGCGGCTATTACGAAAATACAGAGCATGACAATCATGAGAGACTCCCAGACGTTTGAACAATGTCCTCACTTCAGTTATAGACTGGCGCAAACGGCAATAAAACGGGCCACAAACGACAATATCGTCACCGAGAGTACCGGTCATTAAGTATCTCTGTCGCATGATCTACCAATCGTCTTCCACGAAATTGTACATTGTTACAATTCCATAAATTAAAAGGCAGAAAGTCAATGAGAAAGGTCTTTTATCGTTCTTTTAACTTATTTCCCTTTTATTCCTTCTTTGTAAATCTTGTTCTCACACACATACACACACAATAGAGAGAGAGAGAGAGAGAGAGAGAGAGAGAGAGAGAGAGAGAGAGAGACAGAGTAGCTTTCTTTTAGTTATAAAATTACAAAATAAATTCAAAATATTTAATAAAATATTTTTCACGTGAAATCTTTTCTTAAAAAATGTTAGAATTCTAATTTCAGTTTTGTTACCCCTATCTTATTTATGCACTTTTAACATAAAAATTCTTCAATTATATAAAAAATATAATAAAAATATTTTAAATATTGGAAGAATATAATTTAATTTTATTTTTTAGGATCAATATATCCATATCCATATTATTTGCCCAATTTGTAAACATAAATTGTGCATGAATAAGTGCAATTCTTTTTTGTAATATAAACTGTTGTTTCACTTTGTAAAGCGAATTATATCCTATTTCAAAGATTATTATTATTTTTAATTTTTATTTCTAAATTTCTTTTTACATGCGCACACAAAGTATATATTTTTTCTTTCAAATTATATCTCTACAAATTATTATTTTTTACATGAAATCTTCCTTTAAAAGAATGTTAGATTTCTAATTATTAAATTTAACTTTTGCTTTATTGTATCGTATATATATTATATTTTGGAATTAAAACTGGTTTCAATTTTGTGAAAAATTAAACAAAATATCTTTTTGGAGAAGCTTATAAAAGCTTAATTTAATTTTTTATTATATATATATATATATATATATATATATATATAATGTACAATTGTTAATTGCAAATTAATATTTTTTTTAAACAATTATATGTTTTCTTTAAATTAATTGACTCCTCTCGTTACTTTTTACATAAAAATATTGAAGTAAGATTATCAAATGAATATTTTACGAAATATCTTATAGTTTATATAAAATTAAGGAATTATTTCAAATTTTATAACTCAGAAAATACTTAATAAAAAAATACTATATTAAAATATTTTGGAAAGCTTTCGAGATAAGCTATAAGAATATACGACAAAAAATAGGAGGAGGTTTTATTTTAAAAAATTCAGAACGAATTTCACAACGTAATATTGATGACGCTGTTCAATGTTATAGTAATATTACTATGTAATGAGTCACTTAAAATTCTACAACTTTTGTATGACGCATTTTTCTTTAAAATGCTTTATTTGCGAGATATTTGGCCGGTCCAAGACTTTTGAGACATTCTGTATATGTATACATATGTATATACAGAGTATCCCAGACTTAACAAATCAGCCGTTAATAGCAGATTCCTCAAATCATTTGGATACAAAAATTCTAATACTAAAATGTTGAGGAAGACTTCATAAAAATGTTCAAACTACTGACTACTGTCGGAGACACAATCGCGCTCACTGTGGAATCCTATTTTTTATTGATCCCTCTATCGATATTATCACACTGTACACCTTGATGCACTATGTGCCTGAACACAAAA